CACATTCACTATTTCGACACCAGACCCACCATTATTTGAGATTTTACCCCAACACTCAGATCTGCTGAAAAGGCAACAATAGACAATTTGTGTTCTATTGCTGGTTATGAATAACATATGATGTCGTGTGGCTGCAGTAGGGCCATGTGGTTTTGAAATTCCGAAATTTTAATACTTAAATCTGGAGGGATTTCTGCCAAAAGCCATTGGGTTTAGAGATCTGCTCCTGAGTCTCTGGGATCATGGCTGTTGAGCAGCTTGATGAGGAGCCAGAGAGGCCGAGGCCGTTCGTGGGCGATGACTTGGGGTCTCGTTGGGGTGGGGAGGACAGGCCCGGCTGCACCCCCCCCACCATCCTGTGAGGCCCAACAAGTTTCGTCATTGCGGGCCCAAGCCTGACTGTCCAATGGCCTCTGGAGGATGACAGCCACCAAGTCGCCAAGAGGGAGCAGGTGGAGGGACAGCACCCACTCCCCCCTGGGGTGGCCTGGCGACAGTAACCTACTGCGGGGTCCAGACACATTTCTGCCAAAAGCCACTGGGTTTCGAGATTTGTTTCTGAGTCTCTGGGATTAAGGCCGTTGAGCAGCTTGATGAGGAGCCAGAGAGGCCGTTCGTGGGCGATGACTTGAGGTCTCGTTGGGGTGGGGAGGACAAGCCCGGCTCCACCCCCATCCCGTGAGGCCCTGTGTGTCTCGTCACTGGGGGCCCAAATGTGACTATCCAGTGGCCTCAGATGGATGGTGGCCACTGGGCCGCCAGGGGGAACAGGCCAAGGCACGAAACCTATTCCCACCTGGGGTGGCCCAGCATCGGTAGCCTACTGCAGAGACCAGACACATTTCTACCTAAAGCCACGGGGTTCTGAGATTCGTTTCTGAGTCTCTGGGATCATGTCCATTAAGCAGTTCAATCAGGACCAGTTATATAGCTGAGCCGGAGGTGGTTTGTGGGTGTGTTTCCCACATACCTAACTTTTGGCCATTTACTTTCTTGGTAAACTTTGCCCCAAGTTTTTGGGGTCTGGCCAAAGGCACAGCAGCAATTTTGGGGTATCTGGAAGTCTGAAGGCGCCATGAGGCTGCTGATGCACTCGCCTCACAGGTACAGATTGAACTGCAGGCGGCACCATACCCCCTGATACTAAGATTTATTTTTGAGGTATAATTCACAGAGTACAACAAATCCTACATTGCTGTCCAATATAATTTACTCATACACTTGTGAAATCACCACTATAATAAAAACATGGAGCTAGAGATATAGTACAGTGGGGAGGGCACTTGCCTTGCATGTAGTTGAGCTGGGGTCGATCCCAATACCCCATATGTTTCCCTGAGCCTAACAGAAATGAACCCCAACCAAGGAGAATGCTCTGAAAACATGAGGTATGCAACCCTCCCCCCCGCCCCCGCCCCAAAACACCAAACACCAGAACAGGTATCTCACCTGCTAAAACTCCTATCTGCAGTCTACACTGTCTTCTCCTTCACACCCCTCTAGTTACTAGTATCCTGATTTGTTTTCAGTTCCTGTAGTTTCATATTTTTCAGAATGTTAAATAATGTATTGTTGCCTGGGTCAGTAGTTCATTCCTAGTTACTGTTGAATAGTACTCAATACGAATGCTATAGATTGCTTATCTATTTACCTAGTAAGAACATTTGTTTGTTTATGGGTTTGGGTAATTATGATACTTATAATACATTGATGTGAGCATTAATTGCATGTTTTATTTTTATTTATTTTTGCTTTTTGGTTTGTGGTGCATGGGCTCTGCACTCAGGAATCACTCCTGGTGGTGCTCAGGGACCATATGGGATGCTGGGAATTGAACCCGGGTTGGCCACGTGCAAGGCAAACACCCTATCCGCTGTGCTATTGCTCCAGCCCCTGCATGTTTTATTTTTAATTAGAATGTTTAAATTTAAGAACTGTGATTGAAAAAATTATTGATAGTTGGTGTTGTACTACCAGTCAAATTCACCATTGTCAACTTCCCTCAACCAGAGTTTTCAGGTTCCCTCCTGGCACTCCTTTCTACATGCCCTGTCAACACCCTTACATACTCACCATCTTGATAGGCACATCTTAAAGTTTGGTGTGGTAGTTTTGATCTCTTGCTTTCAGTGCTGTTGAGTTTATGGTTTGTGGTATTAACTATAACACTCCTCCACATTACCAATATACTCAAGGCCCCTATCCCTGCTCTCCTCCTCCTCCTCCTCCTCCTCCTTCTTCTTCTTCCTCTTCTTCTTCTTCCTCCTCCTCTTCCTCCTCTTCTTCCTCCTCTTCTTCTTCCTCTTCTTCCTCCTCCTCCTCTTCCTTCTTCTTCTTCTTCTTCTTCTTCTTCTTCTTCTTCTTCTTCTTCTTCTTCTTCTTCTTCTTCTTCTTCTTCTCCTCCTCCTCCTCCTCCTCCTCCGCCTCTTCCTCCTCCTTTTTTTCCTTCTCTCCCTCCCTCCATTTCTTTGCTTCTCTGTCTTCCCCGTCTATTCTGTGGTCAAGAGTAATCTAGGCATCCTCCCCTTTACTACATTGCATTCCCTCATCCAGTTATTCTGTACACCATAGATCAGGTGAGACCATCCTGTGTTTATTTTTCTTCTTCTGGCTACTTTACTCAACATGATTATCTTCCAGTTCTATAATAATTCAACACCCATCTTTCCACCAGTGTCAGCTTCCCTCCACCAGTGTTTCTGGATTCCCTCCCCATCCCAACCCCCACTCCACCCTTGTCTGTCAACTCCACAGGCGTATTACAAAGTTCTGGTGGTTGTCGCTTATATCTCATATTTTCAGTTCTGTTGAATCTGTGTTTTGGGTATATGGCTATACCCCCACTCTTACCACTGGTATAACTGAAGCGCTGATGCCTGTTAATCATTATTTCTGGTTCTGGAAGAGGTTAATTCTTAATAGTACTGGAAACAATAAGTTATTATAAGAAAACTGATTGTCTTCAAGATTATTAAATGGGCAGTCCTCTGAGGACTCTGAGTTTACAAACTCTGAGGACATATATACACGGCAGAGTCTGGCAAACTCCCCGTGGTGTACCCAATATGCCAAATACCAGTAACAATGATGGGTCTCATTCTCCTAAAGAGCCTTGAATATAATCTCAGGGGTAGGATGAAGGAGACGTTACTGGGGCCTGCTCGAGGCAATTGACGAATAACAGGATGGTCCTGATTCGTGAGGACATATATGGAACTTGTATAAATTCAAGGTCCCAGCGTTTGCATTTTCTTGGAGCAAATTCTCATTAGTGATTCAGTAAGTGTAGAGAGAGCCTTATTTGTAAATGCTGAGACCAAGTTCCTGTAGATCATAAGAAAATGATAATGTATATTAAACACCTGTAGATGAACAGAAAACCATGCCCGGGAGGCTGGAGCGACAGTACAGCAGGTAGGGCGTTTGCCTTGCTGGCGGCCAACCCTGGTTTAATAACCGGCAATCCATATAGTTCCCCAAGCACCGCCAGGAGTAATTGTAGAGCCAGGAGTAACCCGTGAGCTTGGATGAGCTGACCCAAAAAGGAAAAAAAAAAAAAACAATCATGATCTTTAGTGATCTCATTTCATCAGCCCTTTAGAGTATCTCACAAGGCTGGTCAAAAAAGGTCTGTCTTACTCGGCCAACAAACCACAAGTTTCCTAACCACACCCCTCGTGAGGGGAGAGACCTCAGATCCTCCAAAGAACTACCTCGGGGGCTGAGAGACAGTCCAGATCGCTCTCAGACTTCACCCCGCGTGCACGCGGGATCCGCGCATCCCTAGGCGGTATTGCGGGGGCGCGGCGGGAGTTTCGGGAGGAAACGATCTCCCGGGGTCGGCCGGTTGGAGTTCGGTCTCCGCGCGAGGGTCCTCGCTCCCTGGGCAGCTTTCACCAAGCTGCAAAGCCCTGGGGGCTGAGGCCTCCGAGCTTCCCCCCTGCCGCCCACCCGCCAAGCGCAGGCGGATCGGACCCGCACCCCAGTCACGAGCAAGGATCGGGACCAGGACTCCCGCCGGCCGCCTAGCTCTTCCTGACCGCGTCGGCCTAGAGCGGGACGAACCGTGTCACCACCCCGCGCGCCCGCGCCCCTTCCCCGCGCGCTCCACGGCTCCTCCCCGCGCGCCCCCTGGGACCACCTCGCGCGCCCCCGGCTCTTCCTGGCCCACGCCGGGGACCTCCCCGCGGGCCCCCCGAGACCTCCCCACGGCCACGCCCACGCCCCGCGCGATCCCGGCTCCTCCCCCCGCTCCCGCGGCAACGCCCCGCGCGCCCCCCGGGACCTCCCCACGGCCACTTCCCGCTCAATCCCGGCTCCTCTCCCCGCGCCCGCAGCCACGTCCCGCGCTAGGCTCCTCCCTGCGAGCCCCCCGGGTCCTCCCCGCGGCCACTCCTCGAGCGCCCCCGGTCCCTCCCCGCGGCCACTCCCCGAGCCCCCCGGGCCCTCCCCACGGCAACACCCCGCGCGTCCCCGGAACCTCCCCGCGGCCACTCCCCGCGTCCTCCCGGCCCTCCCCGCGGCCACTCCCCGCGTCCTCCCGGCCCTCCCCGCGGCCACTCCCCGCGCGCCCCCCGGCTCCTCCCCGCGCGCCCCCCCGCTCCTCCCCGCGCGCCCCCGGCTCCTCCCCGCGCGCCCCCGGAACCTCCTCGCGGCCACTCCCCGCGTCCTCCCTGCCCTCCCCGCGGCCACTCCCCGCGCGCCCGCGGCTCCTCCCCGCGGCCACGCCCCGCGTCCTCCCGGCCCTCCCCGCGGCCACTCCCCGCGCGCCCCCCGCTTCTTCCCGCGCGCCCCCCCGCTCCTCCCCGCGCGCCCCCGGCTCCTCCCCGTGCGCCCCCGGCTCCTCCCCGCGGCCACGCCCCGCGCGATCCTGGCTCTGTGGCCCGGACCGCGCCCAGCCTCATCCTGTGCCGCCGGCGTCCGTCCCGCGGCTCCTCGTCCCGCCCGCGCACGACTTCCCCTGGCTTCGAGGCCCCCCAGGGCGCCCCCGGGGACCCACTATGCCGCGCTGGCTAGGTGGCTCCGCGCTGCCCACGGCGGCGTGCCAAGAGGGGGAGCGGCGCCGGCACTACGAGACCCTTTTCCAGAGGCTGGACAGGAACGGCGATGGTGTGGTGGACATCCACGAGCTGCATGCGGAGCTGGAGAAGCTGCGCGTGCCCCTGGGACAGGAGGCCGAGCAGGTGGGTCTCCGGGAAGGGGCGGCAGCTCTGGGTTTTGCCAGAGGCCAGGCACCCCTTGGCCTCCAGCCAAACTGGATCAGAACCGGGTTTGTTGTCAGTTTGTCACGCACCCAGCCCGGCTCAGGGGTTCCTCCTGGCTCCTCCCGGTCCTGTTCCAGGGAACTGGATCGAATGAACTGGACCGAATCTGCTTGTGAAGCGTGAGCCCAGCCCTCTGCATTGTCCCGAGCCACACACAACCGTTAACAATCCCCGTTCCGCAATCCTTGGTCTAAATATAATCCAGGTCCCTTAACCAGCCTCTGCAGACCTTTGCAAACATTTAGTTAAAACGAATCACTTTTCAGACTTGAGTCAACTTCCAAGTCCTGTAGAAAGTCTCATTCTCCTCTTCCGAGCTCTGCTTTTTTGAAATTGTTACAACTACTGGTTTTGTCAGTGTTTCCCTCTACTTCCTGTGGAGGGCTGGGGACATTCCACTGCTTTAACAAGACTTTCTCCATCCCCAGGTACACAGATTGATCTGATGAGGGGACCGATCCCTCAGCACTTTCAACTTCTTAAAGTCAGGTCAGGCGCATCTCCAAGTAATGTCCCACTCTCAGGGTGGAGACAGTTGGAACCTCTCCAGCACCACTGAAACACAAGGGCACTCAGCCTGGCATTCCCTGCTCCAAAGGGGGAAGCGATTATGTAACTGAAAGAGCCACCTGTTTCATGGTATATTTTAAGATACATTCTAACATTCTCGTTCGTTGGTAGTTACAGGCTTATTTCTTCTTGAGTCAGATTTAGTAGGTTCTTTTTTATTGGAATCGCTCCAGTTTTGTTGAAGGCTCGTAGTACTCAATTGGAAATTTACTAAAGTTCTGATTACCATCTAAGGTTAAGTGCTCAGTTTCATTCCTGACATCTTTTACAAAGCAAAAGAGGTATTTTTTTTCCTGATCGTTTGATTTTCTTGCAGAAATTTCTGTTTATCTCCTACTTAAGAATAAAATATTTTGAAATTTTGAAAATATTTGGAACTAAAATATTTATGCTTACCCTATTAATTAGTCAACTGGATAGTCTAAAATATGCAGATACGATCTGCTTTTACTATTAATTCTTTGAAAATATAAGCAAAACAGAGCAAATCTTTAATGAGGTGAGTGGAGGAAAAAAGAGAACTCAAAATCAGCAATAAAAATGTCCTTTTAGAAAATTTACATAAGACCAAACTATAAAATAAGTTATATAAAACTGTATATGCAATCACAGAACAGGGTGATCTCTTAATGATGCTAAATATATGCATTTTATGCATGTGCATAGGAGATGTTTTATACATATGTGTATATATAACACACTGGCACTGGCAGTTTTTTTGACTGGCATATTCTTTCATGGCTGGAGCGATAGCACAGCAGGTAGGGCATTTGCCTTGCATGCAGCCAACCCAGCCAACCCAGTTTGATTCCTTCGCCCCTCTCGGAGAGCCCGGCAAGCTACCTAGAGTATCTTGCTCACTTGGCAAAGCCTGGCAAGCTACCTGTGATGTATTCCATATGCCAAACATAGTAACAACAAGTCTCACAATGGAGACGTTACTGGGCCTGCTTGAGCAAATCGATGAACAACAGGAGGACAGTGTGACAGTGCTATTCTTTCATAAAAGATTAATAACAGTTATTTCTAGAGAGTTGGACCTAAATGACTTCTGTGCTTTCTTTTTCAAAAATTTGCATTATCTTAATTTTAAAAGGGATTGGAGGGTGAGAACTCCAGTGGCAGAGCATAAGTTGAGCAGATATGAAGGTTGAGTTCCACATGTGGCACTGCATGGCTGTTGGAGCACTGCTGAGTATGGTTTTCCTTGGTGACCTCCAGACACTGCTAAACCTGAGCAGTAACTGCATTGCTGGTGGAGCATCAAACACTTATACCCATATTGCTGGGAGTGCCTCAACTTCCACCTCAGCCAGGGGTCACCCACAGAAAAATTATTTGTGAAAAATATTACTTTTTTATTAGGAAAAATACATATTTATTTTAAACGATGTTACCTCCTCTGGGATGAGCCTTTTGTACTTCCCTCTATAGAAGAGTTTATGATAGCCTAAGATGTGTAGGTCCCTTGTCTTACGTATTATTGTAGCACTGTAGCACTGTCCTTACTATTATAATTTTCAAAGGATATCAGTTTCATTTTTGGCTGTGCTTTCAGTTAGGAAACATATATCCTGAGGGTGAGGATCATGTCTTAGTTAAAAAAAGATTTAAGAATCTAATTTGAAGTAACTGAAATAGGATGGAGTAGTACAGAAGAAAGGCTCTTGCTTTGCATTTGCTGAACCCTGATTTGAATCCCCAGCACCATATATGGTATCTGGAACATTGCCTGGGGTCACGCCTGAGAACAGAGCCAGGAATAGCCCTTGAGCATTTTAGGATTAAGGCTCACTCCCCCCTGCCCCCCAGTACAAAGAAATGACTGAAACAAGGTGGTGACTCATTTGAATTGTTTGAAAAGACAAAGTTTAATTGTAACTTAGTTGTTAGTGATTCTATTTTTAGCATATGTTGGACAAAATAATAAAAATTCGATTGTACAGAAAGAGAAGGGAACACCAAATAAAGGGTGTTGGGAGGATCTGCCCACGATGGGAGAGCATGCTGAGGGTAGACTGTTGACCAAGCATGATTGCCACTCAGTGCCTCTTTTGCAGACCATGGCACTCAAAAGGAGAGAGAGGGAAGTGCCCTGCCACAGAGGCAGGGTGGGATAGGGGCTGGGGGGGAGGGGATGCTGGGATCCGAGGTGGTGGGAAATGCGCACTGGTGGAGGGTTGGGTGTTTGATCATTGTATAATCGAAACCCAAGCACAAAATTTATAAGTCTACAACTGTACCTCATGGTGCCTCACTATTAAAAAATAAATAAATTAATTTAAAAAAATAAATAAAAAATGAAAAAAAAATTCGATTGTAAAGTTAGGAATGCTAATTGGAGTGAAAGAAATGCCTCCTTTTTTTCTTAAAAAAAGGGTATTTTTAGTATTTTACATGCTTAAATTGCCTTATAAAAGAATTTAATGAAACTGCCTGGGTTCTACTTTTAGTTTTACAGGGTTGAAGAGGTAGCACAGAGGGTAAGGTATTTGCCTTACAAACTTACTTGTGGCTGACTCTGGTTTGCCAGTCCCTGGTGTCCCATGTAGTCCCCTGAGCCTGCCAGGAGTGATACTTCAGCATGGAGTTAGTAGTAAACTCCAAGCACAGGTAGATGTGGCCCAGAAAACAAACAAAAAACATTTTTTTTTTTTTGCGGGGGAGGGGGTTTGCTATCAACTAATTTATTATCGGCAGTTTTGTTTGCTTGTTTGTTTTTCATCTATGATAGAGGTAATACTAGTACTCATAGGGTTATGATGAAGAACAAATATATTAAAACAATTTGAATAATGCCTGACACCCTATCAGCAGTAAATTAACTATGAAATTTTATTACCTAATATTTAGAGTCTAGTAGTTACAGTAAAAAGGGATGTCAAGTTCTCCCTCTGGTTATAAATTTGCCAATTTTTCTGTCAATATTTGCCTTTGAAATTTGAGAGACTATACTGCTGGTCATTGTATCTTCCTGGTGACTCACTCCTTTCATTGTTCTGCTTCCTTATTCATTCTTACGTCATAGTCCCCTCGTATTTTTCAGATGTCTGAACCCTTGCACTAGCCAGGGTATTCTCCCCAACTTGATTTTTGCCCCAGTCATCACTGGCAGTGATTCAACATTTGGACTCCCACTTTCTTCATGACATTATCTTTGACCTATAAACGTTCAGGACTCTTTGCCTACTAGGTGGTGAGTCAGTTCTGAAACACCATGCTGTTTCCTGTCTTGGAACATTCTTGGTACTGTCAGTTTTGGTCCTCTGAGGATCAAAAACCAAGATGGGATTGCAAAATGTTTACTGGGAAAATGCTTGTGAAGGACAGAGGAGGAGGGAACAGAGTCAAATCGAGGGGGTCTTTGAGCAGGATGCAAGTTTAACCTCTGTGAGACAACAAGGGAGGAAGCACTTCAGATGAAAGTATAATTCTTAGGAAGTCTCAACAAGGCTAACAAGGGGGACAGTGACCTGTTAGTGGGATCCCGCAGGGGTTATGCAGTACTAAATGCCTGAACTGTGACTGGGTATTGGTTGGTACCACCCATGGCAAGCATAGAGTAGGTCTGAGTAATGTGACAGGTCCAAAGGTTGACAGGTGTGACAGGGGTAGGTTGTCCTGCTGGAGCAAGTTCTTTTTCATAGGGTGACCTGACCTTCAGCATAGACCAGCAGAGACCACACCCTGTGCCACATAGGAACAGTTCTCTGTATCGATTTGGGAAGTGTTCCTGTGTGGAACACTTCCCAGATCAGCCTGTCTTCCGCCCAGCTCCAGTTGGTCACAGCTGAGACTCATTACTTCCTTTCTTGATTGTATGTTTTAAATTCTGCTCACATTCAGCTGTGATCTCCACAGGTCTTCATGATTTCCCTGGCGGTGTGATCCAAACCCTCCTTCCTGAGGTGTGTGAGCTTCGTATGTTACTTCGTATGTTACTAGTGTTACTGCACATGTATTCATAGTTGAAATTGGGAAAGGGAGACTTTAGAATGGAAGGTAACTAACGTACTGGATCCACACACAAAAATAATAACTTTTTCCCAATAATGCCAATGGCCTGAACTCACCAATAAAATGTTACAGAGTGGGTGGAGGGACCAGAAAACTGAACTAATCGTTCTGCTGTTTATGAGAGACACATCTGAACTATCATAATAAATACGAGCTCAGCGTGAAATTCTGGAAGACAAATGATATAGCTAAAAAGGTCAAGACAGCCATGCTTATATCAGGTGAAATAGACTTCAAACTAAAAACATAATAAAAGGGACTGGAGCGTTAGCACAGCAGGTAGGGCGTTTGCCTTGTATGCAGCTGACATGGGTTCGATTTCCAGCATCCCA